CAAGAGAAACTTGCCCTATTACGTTGGATGATGTACAAGCAGCACTTAGGCAGTTACCATCTAACAAGGCTCCAGGTCCTGATAATTTACGTCAAGAAATGCTCGCTCCTTTACAGGCTAATCTTGCAGATATCTTGCTATTTCTGTTTCAATTATGCTGGACCTGGTCCTATACGCCCGCAGACTGGCGAATAGCGCAAGTTGTACCGATTTATAAAAAAGGCGACCCAGCGGAGCCAGGTAACTATCGACCAATTAGTCTAACATCCGTCTTCAGAAAAATATTAGAGCGCTGTATCTACAGCTTTTTGGTAGCTAATAGCCCTCCCCTGGATATATCTCAAGGCGGCTTCCGTGAGTCCAGAGGATCCTTAGACCAAGCTCTCTGTCTAACCGAAATATGCAACATCCTACGCCGCTTTCATCATATAACCCCAGTGCTGGCCTTTTTAGACATAAAGTCGGCATATGATACTGTGGATCGTCGTTGTATTTGGAAAAATCTAGAGCAAACAGCACCTGCTGCATTGGTTAGCTTGCTTCAGAATCTATTTGATGAGGCCCAGATAGAAGCCCTACTCAATAATGCAACGTCTACTCGTTTCTCGCCAGCCACTGGTGTCCTCCAAGGATCAATTCTCTCTCCGTTTTTGTATTCTATATACATTAACGAATTATCTCGCCTTCTGCGCTCACAACCACTAACCACAGATACTTCCCCTACCGAACTTGCCCTTCGCATGAACTGTCTCCTCTATGCTGATGATGTTGTCCTTATAGCTGATAAGGCTGATATGCCCACTCTCCTCAAGTCTTGCGAAGACCACAGTTACCAACTTGGGTACCGATGGAACCCAAGTAAATGTGTTATATTAGATCCAACACAACCGTCTTCAAGTTATACCCTCTATGGAGAACCAATCCCAAAACAATCATCCTTTCCCTATCTCGGAATCCCTTTTCGTTCGGGTGGCCATCTCGACGCCATTGAACTGATTGCTAACAACAAGACTAAAGCCCTTACAACTATGAACCAATTCTCAGCTATTGGCATTCATCCCAAGGGTTTTACCTCTCTCTTAGCCACTCGTTTCTATTCCCAAATCGTTCGTGCCCAATTAGAATACGGGCTAGCCATTACCAAGGTTACCTCCTTCCTTAGCAAACAGTTGGGCGACGCTCAGAACGCTTGCATACGTCGAATCTTTGGTGGTTTGGGCATTTCTTCCCTACCGTTGTTTTTCCTTTTGGCAACCTTCCCAACCATGCAGGAACGCGCTTACTCCCTTCAGTCCCAATTCCTTCTACGCACCTATACCCTTGCAGATGATGCACTACTTTCCCATCTTCTCCCATTGATCCTCCAACCTAGAAGTTACTCCCAATGGTATAAACTTTCTAGGTCTCCCATTTGGAGACTATGCGCACCAAACCCAGAATTCCTTGATCGCCGCTCTTTACGCTTGATGCAAAGGAAGTTCCGCCAAGATAACCTCAATCACAAGCGCGCAACGCACGCCTCTGTTCTTCTTACGCACTGTCGCCCGACTATCTCCCTAGACCCTATCCTTTGGCTACCTATGACCAGATCTGAGAGAAGTCGATGCATACGTTGGCGTCTTGGTTGGCTTCCTAGTGGTCATGATAAAACCTGTCCTCGGCACCCCAACCAATCCTTCACCAAAGCCCACGCCATTCGTTGTCTCCAGATGCACCGTCGACTTATGATGCCCGAAACAATTTTAGATCCATTATCCTTCCTTTTGAATATGCTACCTTCAAAGAAACCACGCTCCTTTCAAGTCGCTCTCCCATGGACCATTCGTTGGCCAGCTATCTGCATTCTTCTTCATGAACTTGACTACCTCCATCATCAGAAGTGTCCACCTTCTCCGCCCCCACACCTTGGGCAAAAGCTCCTCAATTGGCTTCCTCGTTGTCCTCACTAGTGTATCTTACACTTGCCCCAACATCATTTCTTCAATAACTTTTTTATCCTGGATCTCATAAGGGTTTTTTAGTTACCAATTCTTCATTCTTTTTTGATCTGCCTCGGGCGAAGAAGATATATTATTATCGTGCGCCCACTTGAGGCTTTAATTGTAAATAAAAGACTGTTTAATCGTATAGCTTCAGCATTTAAAATTGCTACTCTAGTTTAAGCAAAATTGAATGAATGGTATAAGTTTTAAAGTAAGGCTTTATTTAATTGTCTATTTATTCGTTGTCGTCAACAACAGTGGTTTCCAAACCTATATAATTCATTTTATGAATTAGTTAACAGTCGCTTCACAGATAGGAGGACCAAAGTATGTGTATACTTTGGTATAATTACTCTCCAACCTCTCGCGCTCACCAACTGCCGGAAATCATCCATTGTCTAAAATGACAACTTTGACTACACGGACAGCGTAAAGGATTGCCAGATAGTTTAAAAGGGAGAAAAAAAAGAAAATTACTTACCCTTAAAGTTAGCAACAGGGACATAGGAGACGTAGGAGTAGAGCTTTTCCTTAGCATTTTCATCGTCATTACGCTTACGAGCAATACGAACACGAATGCGGTGGTTGATGTGCTTGACACCACGAGACCAGAGAGCCTTGTTTAAAGCAGGGTCAAGACGAACATCCTTAGTGCCCATGGCCTTTTGGGCAAAAGCCTTGACAGCCTTAACAGCAGCAGGAGTACGCTTTCTTAAAGAGCGACCAAAGACGTGCTTGTGCAAGTGAATAGTATATTCACGAGTGACAACATCAGCAAGAGTAGAACGCTTTTGAGGAGTAGATTTGGACATGTGTATTAAGGATTATAATGGATGGATGGATGAAGATACTGTTGACACCTTTGGATGTCTCTGTAGGCTTAAGCATCCAGAAAATTTTAGCAGTCCTTTCTGAAATTGAAAGTAGGAAATTGTCTGCACTAAATAAATTTTAGAATACACCATTTTTTAGCGAATGCTGATAAAATAAAGCAACCCTTAAGTCATTTAAAAAACATGTCAGCTCAAATCTCAGTAAATTGCACTCGTCCATTATTGTGTCCACAAAAGAAAACAAGGCCCGGGGAGTTTTTTTTTATCTTGAAACCCGCCATACAATTAGAATTACAGACCTTGCTGGCCTTAGCAAATCCGCTGTGCAAGATATCAAAGATAGAACTAGGAAAATGGAAGCACTTTACTTCGCAAACAAAAAAGATAATCATTAGAGATGGGCGAAAGGGCTCAGAAACACTTGTAGAGGATGATCAGAGAAGATCCTTTTTTCTCTTTTGCAAAGCTGGGTGTTTTCCATTTCATACGAAACTTTTTGATCATATGTTGCCTAACTTGGCTTCAAGCCGTGCCAGCCAACTTCCAAGCCTCGATTGACAGCAAATTACCGTAAAATTAAGCTTCGCTGGACGAAGGAACACGTCAATTGAACCGAAACCAATGGAGGAACGTGATCTGGTCCAATGAGTCACATTTTTGCGTACATGGTAGTGGCCGCAGCAAAAGAGTTGTTCGAAAGGAAGAAGAGCGTTATGAGGAAAGAAACAACATCTGTGGTGAAGTTTTGTGGTGGTTGGCCTATGATTTGAGGATGCTTTTAGAGGCAGTCAACACCAACTCTATCAACCAGGAAAAATATATCAATATTTTGACCAACAGCCTGCACCTTTGGCTAACGAATATTACGCCAAGTCAGCAGAGACACTTTATCTTCCGAGAGGATAGAGCTTCTTGCCATACGGGTTATGCTTGATGGAATATTGGCCTCCTCAAAGTCCAGATTTGAACCCCCTCGAGCATGTTTGGCATGCTCTTGAAAAGCGAATTAAGAAGAGACGATCTTCTAGCGCTAGTGTGTAACAGCTGAAGGTGTCCTTGCAAGAAGAGTGCGCAAGGCTGGACGTTGAGCTTGCTGACTATTTAGTCGAAAGAATGAAGTGAAAATGCGAAGTCGTCATTAAAGAAAAAAGTGACTCAACTGAATGTTTTATATATTATTAAAATAAACACTTCAACCTTTTTTTTTCACAATTTGAAGTCCCAAGCTGAAACTAGTAGGTTTGAGTTTACAATATTATTTTTCAATGTTTTGGTTAACCACAGATTAATTATACCACTATCACTCTACATTTGTTTAACCTCAGGTTAACCACCTCAAATTATGTGACTTACATTTATTCCTGCACACCTAGGCTTTTCGGGGCAATAACGCGTTTGTTAAAAATCAAAAAAGTTATTTTTATCTCCCTCCAAATGTCTAGTAACCTTCGACAGAGGCGTGTTGAGGCAGAGATTGCTTCAACAAAGCACTTGGACGTTGATTTTGATGATTCTAAAAAGGTTCCTGTCTATCCATTTTTCTTGAAAGAATAAAATATCATTTAAACTAATGCTTTTTTAGTATGGAAACAACTTTTCGCCTGTTCAAAATGATCGCACTTTTCATAAACTGGCATTTTCACTGCTTTGCATCATTGCAACTTTTGTTACTTTTTACAAGATTTGGAATCCCGCAGAAGTTGTGTAGGAAACATAATCCAAGTAGCAGATCCTGTTTCTGATTCCTCTTTAGGTTTGATGAAGTTCATTTTGGAAAATTTGCGGGTTACTACTTACAGCGAACCTATTACTTTGATGTCCATCCACCGCTGGCTAAACTGATGATTGCTGCAGTAGGATACTTGCTAGGATTTGATGGAAAATACGACTTTGCAAATATTGGCGATGATTATCATGATCACAATGTACCTTATATCGGCCTTCGTTCCTTACCTGCTGCACTTAATGTATTTTCTACTGCATTAATCTATTTGATCATGAAAGAGTCTGGTTATTCATTGATCATTTGCGTTCTTAGCACAGCAATGTATATCTTTGATAATGCTATGGTCACTCAGAACCGTTTGATCTTATTAGACAGTATGCTAGTTTTCTATATGCTTGCGACTGTCTATACCTATGTGCGATTCCGTAAACTTCGACATAAATCATTCTCTGTCAAATGGTGGTTTTGGCTTCTTCTCACTGGTATTGCTATGGCAATGACTGTAAGGTAAGCTAATGATCACAACCACTTTAACCCACTTTACCAACATGCATTCATATATAGTGTCAAGATGGTCGGACTGTTCCTAGTTGCATTGATTGGACTCTCTGTGCTTTATGACTTGTGGAACTTGCTTGATATCAACTATGGATTGACTATGGTAAGTAAGATTAAAAGAGGAAGCGAATGGTTGTAATAACTTGAAGTTAGAAACAATTCATGAAACACTTTTACGCTCGAGCATTTGCTCTAATCATTGTTCCTATCGCTGTCTATCTGTTCTGGTTCTATATTCACTTTGCTATTCTTGACCAATCCGGTCCAGGTGACTCCTTCATGTCTACTCGATTCCAAGATACGCTCAAGTTTAGTCCATTGAAAATGGCTGCATTAGGCAAGTATATGAATAATCAACAAGACATAGACTAACATATTACCTATAGAGGTTCACTATGGAGATGTAATCACACTGAAACACAAGGATACGAACGCCTTTTTACATTCTCATGACCTTCACTACCCCTTAAGATACGAAGATGGTCGTGTTAGTAGTACAGGCCAACAAGTTACAGGTGTACTCGAGTCTAATGAGAACTGCTTTTGGCGCGTTAAGCCCACATTTCCTATTGAAGATAACGGTGAGCCTGTTCCTGTCAAGAATGGCGATGTCATTCAACTGGAGCATGTCGTCACTGGCACAAACTTACTCACGCACGATGTCGCTTCACCTTGGATGCCAACCAATGAAGAAATAACTACTGTCCCTTTGGACAGTCGCTACGAAGAAACTCTTTTCAAGATTATTTTTGAAGATGATGACATGGACATACTTGAGACACACATGACTCCCTTTAGATTGATTCATGAAGATACCAAAGTGGCAGTCTGGGTTCATAACAAGAAATTGCCCGAATGGGGCTTAGGACATCTTGAAGTGAACGGTAACAAAAATGCGGTTGACAATACCAATTACTGGATGGCTCAAGAAATCAAGGGTAAAAATGCTACCGAGATTAACTCACGAAGGAACCAAAAACAATTGAGACACATGCCCTTCATTAAGAAATTCCTTGAGTTGCAAGGAAAAATGATCAGCCATAATGCTGGTCTTACAAAGCCTCACCCTTATCAATCGACCCCTATCACCTGGCCATTTATGATCCGTGGTGTATCATACTGGTCAAAAGAGGACACACGCTCTCAGATCTACCTAACTGGCAATTTGTTTGGATGGTATCTGTCTGTAGGCGGTATTGCTGTATTTGCAGGTATTATGGTCGCTGATATACTAGCACGCAGACGAGGAATTGAACCCATTGATGAACCTGTTCGCCACCGATTGATCCAATCTGCTGGTTTCTTTTTCACTGCATGGGCACTTCATTATTTCCCATTCTTTTTAATGGGAAGATCATTGTTTTTGCATCACTATCTTCCAGCTGCTACTTTGAACTATTTATTATTGGGTAGTATGTACCAATTCATATTCATTGATGGTATCGATTCACCTGTGTCATTCATCACAAGACTGTCTAACAAGACAAGGTTGACTATCATGAAAGCCGAAGTATCTTGGAAAGTGTATCCTGTCGTTTTCATCACTTTAATTTGTCAAATTGCCATGTTTATCTATTTAGCTCCCTTAACTTATGGCACACCAATGACATTAGAAGAAGTGCAGAGCCATCAGATCTTGAGTGGTTGGAAGCTTCAATACGGTAAGAACAAATAGATTTTTGTTAGATAAACACTAACTTTTTACTAGCAAAATAATTGAACTTTCAATAAAGAACAAGTTGAATATTTTATCATAATAAATCAATTTATATCCATAATGTCTGTTCTTTGTGGTTTAGAAGGATGAAAAGACCATGGAACATTTTTCACCCCAAAATCATGCCAACTTGCTCAGTTTTGTATTTTTTTTTTTTTTTTAAATAGAATTAAAACAATCATCTGTACCATGTGCGGACCTTGATCACGTTTTAAGCCTTCTCTTCTGCAACTGTCGTATTGGTTACCATATCTAAACCAATCCTGATTGCCTCCGTTCCGGCCTCCGATGTAAACCTTGTCGTAGAACAATGTATGCTGATAACTGACATTGAGATAAGCGACTGTAATCCGTGTGAATAGAGTGAATCCATGCATTATAAGATTACGTGTGCACGCTTTTAGTGATAAGTCAAATTAAATAGAATCTCTCCTTTGAATATAAATCATTACTTCTTTAAAAGATAACCCTTCTTACGATAAAAGCAGTATCATAACTCAGATCATGGAATGGGCAATAAGATCAGTATCAGGAACGAATCAAAAGTTTTCTTTATGAACTCAGGAACATGAATGTTAGAACAATCAGCTTCAATGGTTGGTATCAAGGACGTTCATTCGCAAACTACTAGCCGCAAGCATCTCGATTGCTGAGGTGGTCAGAAAAAATAGAAAGGGAAGAAATAGAGAAAGAGATAGAAAGTGATTACATCACCAGCTACAGACGATCTACGTGGCCTGTCGTTGTTTCTTACAGCATTCATGTAACACTGAGGATGTAGTTTAGGTTCGAATTAGGAGATCAAAACCCAAAGATTGCTAAAATCCGAGCTATCTGATATTGTTTCACGTGATCTATGGGTCGGACTTTTTACAATTCATCAGTCTTTTCTTCGGCAATTCCTTCGGATACACTCAACTCACACGAGTGCAGGGATTCCCTTTTCTTCTCCAAATGTCAGCCCAATCATCAAAAAAGCGAAAAAGAACACCCAACGATGCACAGTGGTGTCTAAATCATGCCAATACTCTCTCTTTGAAATCTTTTGCTCTCCAGTTTCAATTATGTGACCGTGCATACTGCATGGGTCGCTATCGAACAATTCTTGACAAGTATTTTGAGACTGACGCCAAGGATATCCTTCTAAACGAACTCAAACAATGGACCTTTTCTATCTATAGTATTGATTTTTGGAAGGAACAAACTCGGAAGAAGATGATGTCGGATACCCATGCTTCATGCTCAGCTCTTGTCAACCAAATCATTATGGAAGAAATCCCTTTTATTGACCACAACAGTAACAACTCCCCTTCTGCTACCACCTCCGCCTCCAACGCAAACACCAATGAGGACAACACGAGCAACGACAACAATGCAACCGATGCGTACATCAATTCAGTTTTGCTATCATTCACTGCGTCTTTCAACAATAGCAGCTCCAATGACTCATCCAATAAATCTATTTCTTCATGGTTAGTCAACAACATCAACATTACCGAACTCTTTCGAAAATGCTAGCAAGAAATACCCTCCACCAAGTCGATTTTTCAGATTGAAACCGACTTGCAAGAAGTTTTGGCTCTTTCCAGTATCCTTTTCCTCGTACCAAATGAGCACAGCGCACTCAAATCCCGAGTTTTTGGATTACCTTCATTACACTCCCTATGTGACCATGTTTTCCATGATTTGATGGAAACGAACGACTCTACAAACGACAACCAGCTCACAGACGACGAGTTCATCACCATTACACGAACCATCAATGGGATAGATGCTAAGACAAAATCAATAAGGGAAGCCAAGCTGGTTCTTCTTTCACTTTCTGTTCGCATGACTGGTAACAAGGCCAATGTTGTGGAAGGAATCACGAATCTGTAAGTGCGAATATGGAAGTCATAAAGAAGTATTTTTTTTAAAATTGTTACGTTTATGTTAGTCTGACCAAGTTGCCACGGAATCGACTATTGAATTTGGACAAGATGGGTGAAGTTGAACTGCAAATGACTTATTATGATGCCTTTTTGTCTGAAATTATCGCTGACCAAGACCGAAATGTAGCATTGCGATGGGCGAATAAATCATGTGAAGAGGAATCTGATATTCGACCCGACACGATCATCTCAACACTGATGCAGCACGATTTTGGTTACCCTGTTGGTTTTGGTGAGGTCAAGCCTGGCAACAGCTCTACAACCAAACATTCTCTATGTATGAATATTCTTCGCCTGGGAATCGCCTCCAAAAGGGCAATCGATAAATGGCACTTGAACGGCTGTCTTGCCTTTATGATTGACGGCTTCTACATCTCCTTCTTTCTTGTCCGCAAACAGCACGAGCACTTATACACGATGGTCGAAATTGCTGCTATGACTGTTGCCTCTTCTCTGGGGGACCTTCACACTTTTGCCTCTCTCAAGAACCTTGATACTTTGTCCAAAGTTAGCCGCTATTTTTGGAATCATTGCAATGTTACTGAACATCCTAATGTTGAGTCAAGTGATACTGATGACGGCTTTGTGGTCCCCATTTCCAACTTTTATGCTCTCATTGACAAGTCATGTAACAAGTCCCGCGACATATCATCACGATATTGAATACTCCGCTTGTCCCCATCTCCATAGTCTTGATTTCGATCCTTCTTCCCAATATCCCCCCCTTCTACAACACAATATGAAATACAGCAAAAAATATTTTTACTGATTTGAGGACAATACAGTGCAAACAAAGAGAGGGTAAAAAGGGAGAGTTAGGTTCAAGTGATAGGCTATAGTTGTGAGAAAAGTTATGGTTTGTGGAATTGTTGGTCGTTCCTACAACAATTTCCCTTGACTCCGCTCTGTCAGCCAATAGTGGTACAGGCTCCAAGAGCCGCGCTTTTATTTTTTATGTTAAAAATATAATATAAAAATATATAATAATAAATATCTGTGATTCCCTTTTCCCTTTATACCTTCAAAAGCCGCGCATTCGTGGAAAAAACTATGGGAGATAATACAAATGGATTCAACATCTCAGACAACGATATGGACGCATTATACACCGAGTTCGTACGCAGATTTACCCAAGAACAAGAACTCAAGCAGAATGGAAACCCCTTACCGTTGGAAATCACTACCGAGTTGGACGAAGTCAGTGAACCACAGCAAGATAAAAATTTTAAGCGTTTTCGACGAGAAAGTAAGAAATATGCTTTGGAAAAGTGGAACATCCCAGAGTGTATTACAGCGAACTTTACAAAGAGATCAACAAACATAAAACAGACACTTCCGATGTTATCTCAAAAATATACGAAGTTACCGATATAACAAAATTTTAAGCCAAAGTTGCTACTGAGATCTTCGAAGAGCTCCAATTTACCTTGGAACAATCCACCAGCTTGGAAGAAGCTCGACAAATTATATAAAGAGCAACAGAACAAAGTAAACGTCTGGCAATCTTTGGCTTCGCTCAAGCCAAGGCCCAAGAGCAAAGTGCAAAAAACTACGCTATTGACGCCCTCAACCTTCCAGCTAGCGTCAAATATCAAGTCCCCAAAAAGACAGTCTTAAGACAACGAACGCCTTCAGTGATGGATTCTTACAAAACCTTCAACAAGCCAGATTTGAACGAGAACTATTACAACAGCACATCACCAACAATGCCAGAGGTAGAGGCAAAGGATTCAACAAAGGACGTGAGAACTCACAAGGAAACCGCAGATATAGAGGAGGACGAGGTTCTCTTTTTGGACGGAGCCCGAGTGGGAATATCAACAATCCCCACAATCACAACAACAGTAACAGTCTGTCCAATAACTCCCAAACCAACCTCAGCAACCACCGTTATACGAATACAACAACTTTATCAACAATGGAAAAACATAACAACACATCATTGACCACTTTCTGTAGTACAAGATGGATACAAAATTCAATTTACATCAACACCACAACCTTGGAGAACCAGACCACTACATTTGATCCAGATCGAACAACAAGCCGTCATCGAAGCGGTTCAGAAGTTCCTACAAGCAGATATAATCGAAACTTCACCTTCTCAGGGTACGGATTTCTTATCCAATTTCTTTACGATCCAGGAGCCGAACAAGAGAAGACCTATTTTGGATTGCCAAAAAATCAACAACTTTATTCAGTGTCACCATTTCAAGATGGAAGGTGTACCAGTCTTGAAAGAAATACTGGAAAAGAACGATTTTATGTGCAAACTGGATTTAAAGGATGTGTATGTATTAGTGGGACTTCATCCCCAATCTCGGAAATATCTCACATTCATGAATCAGGGAATGGTTTATCAATACAAGACTCTTGCCTTTGGAATGAATGTTAGTCCCAGGGTGTTTTCGAAGATCATGAGGTTTGCAGTGGAACAATTGCGGAAAGAAGGAATTCGTTTAGTGTACTATCTGAACGATATTTGCCTACTAGCCAAGACAAAGGAAGAAATGGAAGCAGTTACATCACGAGTAATTTCACACCTAGAATCTTTAGGATTTATTATAAACAAGGAAAAGAGCATACTAACTCCTTTACACAAGCAGGGGTTTCTAGGCTTCCAGCTCAACTCTCAGAATATAAAGATCACAGTTCCGGCCAAAAAAATCAACAAGTTGATAAGCAGAATCAAACAAGCACTGACTCAACCAATCCGGCCATGCAGATGGTATGCGAACCTGTTAGGGAAAATGGCCTCGATGATACCGGCGATTGAGGAAGCTCTTTTACATATCCGTTATCTACAGAGGGATCTGGCGTGCAGCTTGCAGTTACATCACCAACGTTGGGAAGCACCATTTACGATTTCAGACAACAGCCAAACGAACTGCAATGATAGATAGATTTTATAACTGTTGTATTTAGCACTGATATTGACTTGTAGAGTATTCAAAGAGCTTATCATAATTTGTACAGTACCTGTCCAAATTACATTGTACATAAAAGAGCCTGTAGACAGAGTAACATCACACTAAGAAACTGTGCTACAGTGTAGTATATATTGCTACCATATATTAATAATATATATCTTTCTTCACTTCTTATTTACAAAAATAAAAAGATATACTTAGAAGTTATTTTTTAATCATAGTCCATTTCAATTCAACTATTCAGCCAATTCTTCAATAACAACAAAAAATGGGTTACCCATACAGCGACTCGACAATCAAAAAGCGGCCATTACCATTCACGTAGACGCTTCAGATATCGCTTGGGGCATGGCGTCACAGGAAGTTGAAGCAACGGGGTACTGGGCCGAAGAAGAAAGAAATCATTCTATAAATGTCAGAGAATTATCAGCAATTATGTTCGCTCTACAGTTGCATGCAAAGAAGTACCATGGTTCCACCATAAAGCTGTACACGGACAATATCACCGCACTAAAGTTCGTTACAAAATCCGGCGGGACATCTTCAACACTATTGCAAGACTTAGCAGTAAGAACTCAGGACATTTTGCAACCAGCACCAACTTCGAGTAGAATACCAACATATACCGGGAATCAAGAACATTCAAGCGGACCAACTCAGCAGACGACGAATGGAGAATCCCTTGCGCAAAGCGAAGATCCCCAGACATATCTTCCACAAGCTCAGCAAGATTTGGGGACCACTGACGATAGACGCATTCGCCTCACAACACAATCATCAGCTACCACAATTTTGGAGCCTCAGACCCGACCCAGAAGCAACAACATTAGATGCATTCAGACAAAACTGGATGAAAAAAGGGGTGTACCTGTTTCCTCCGTGGAGATTTATCCCTCAAACAATACAGCAATTGAAACGATAGAAGATACAAGAGGCGGTAATAATCACACCGTGGTGGACCACGCAACATTGGTTTCCAATGATTATGAGGATGAAGCAGTTATCACAAACAATAACATTCAAACTAAACAATTGGAAGATGGTCGCATGGCGCTTATCCGGGGCAAGAGAAAGGGCCAAGGCATGAACACTGATAAAATAGAGTTTTTGGAACATACAATACGTACAAATGCTAGAAGTGTTTATAACCATGACTGGAGAAAATGGGTGACGTGGTGTAATAACCAACAACCAACAATCAATCCTGAAAGGTACGATCCAGATAAGGCATTTAGGTTTTTGATGGACAATCGTGAATTTTCAAGCCAACATTTAAATGGACTTCGATCAGCCGTGTTCAAAGTCTTGCATCCAACAGAACCACCTTTGGCACAGCAAGAGAAAATTGTCCAATTTTTCCAGGCTAAAAGACACCAAGAAATAAAGATCCTGAAAGAGTCAGATTTATCAACTTGGGACACCAATATCTTAATTCGTTATATCAAATCAACTTGGATACACAATGACAAGATCAACTTATTGGAATTACAAAAGGAAACTCTTAGTTTACTTTGCTTAGCAACTATGGCACGACCTAGATCAGGCGTGGGAAGACTACAATACAAACATGTCAAGTTTACAATGCAAGAGGACAAGCCTATAGCAGTTTTATTACACTTTGCAGAAGCTAAAGAAACTAACATAAAATCAGCAAGATTTGGATTAATGGAGGAAGAAGAAATGTGCCTCACGAGAACGATGTACGCATTTGTTCAAAAATCAGCACATTTAAGACATACCTTACCAGACGATCATACCTTCTTTCTCACATACTTAAATAAACCAGACAAGATTCCGTCATCAGCCAAACCATCCAACGTAGCTAACTGGATGAAGCAAATAATGAACGACGCAAGGGTGGATACTACTATATACAAGGCACACTCAATCCGATCAGCTGCAAGCACAAAAGCAGTAGAAAGGTTACATTCAATTGCAGAGGTCAAGCAACATGCTAACTGGAGTAGCAAAGCAAATACATTTGAAAAGTATTATTATAAACCAGTAGCTCAACGATCTTCAAGTACAATTATAGCAAATTCAATTTTTGGACTTACGGAGAACAGTACCACATTGAATGACAGAGCGGAGTCAAGGGAGATTGTTGTAGGAACGACCAACAGTCAGAAAAAAGGAACCCTGTAATTTTATGTTTTACAAAGGAATGAAATTGAAATAATCATCGAATTTAGAACTAGAAGATGACAAGATCGTGTCAAATTACTGATGTGAAAACCATTGAATGCATCTTTAATCCTTGCAAGATATAGAGAGGGTTTGAACAGAGAAATGTATACAGAGATATTGACAATGTTTTTTTTTTTTTTTTTTTTTTTTT